GGGAGGGCAGACAGAGGCTTCCCTCTAGGCCTAATCACAGAGTCCAGAGCCTGAGGAGGGCGGAAGCAAAACCAAGAGTGGATGAGGGGCCTGGGAAGGGCACCCAACAGGGGTCTTCTCCCGCTCAGACGTGAACCTTCCACAGAAGCAGCTCAGGGGAGGTGACAGCAGGACTGTGATGGTCACTGCTCCCCTCAGGACGGACACAGCCAGCTCCTCCAAAGCCTCCTTCTCTCCACCCCTCCCCGTCCTCAGGAGCGGCCTGTAAAATCGCGGGGAATGGCTACCCGGATGACGCCAACTTGAGGAACAGCACTGTGCTCCTTGTCATATGACACGATTCGTCCCGTCAGCCCTGTAAGCTTCCTTAGGGACTTTCCTAAGGATCACAAGGACGGCGTTTATAAATGTACAACGCCCAGCTTCTGTGCTGCAGGCTATGAACAGAAGGGGGGGGGGGCGGTCAGATTCCTATCACTAATAAACCAAGGGGAAGTCTGTTCATGAATTTTATTTCTGGCCCAGGCACAGAACTCATTTAGAAAATTAATTAAATGCACAGGAAAACTTTCAGGACAGTTTACAGTAACTCATCGCTTTTTTTCATCTAGTTTTCTCTGAGGAATGCAATTAATTCATAAAACGGTGCCTACAAATTTGTTCAAAAATCTGAGATAAGCCCAGGTATGGCAGATGTGCCTGGAATCCCAGCACTCAGAAGGTGGAGGCCAGAGGGTCAGGAGTTCAAGGCCATCCTTAGCTATTCAGTGAGTGTGATTCCTGCTCTGTGCATGGGAGATACAGGGAGCCAGAGCTCACACACAGAGCTCTCAGGAAGTCAGAACTGTGTCGGCACACGAGTCAGCACAGGTTGTGAGAGGCAGGAGCTGTGAAGACACATCAGGGGTCAGGGGTCGGTGGGCAGCCATGTACAGCCAGGGTGTGTGTACTCTGGGTACTGAGAGCAGAGGGCAGGGCTCAGAGTTCATGCACAGCCTTCACAGGAACTGTGATTTCACAAGGGCCTGGCCCTCGGGAGCTACAGCAAGGTCCTGTGGACGCAGAAAGCGTCTCTTCTGAGCTCCTGTGGTGCAGGGCAAAGTCTTGGCCTTGTAAGCCACTACCAGGGCTTTCTGCCTGTGTGTGGACTGTGCTTTTCTGTTTCTTCAAATGTTATTTTTGTTTCTAAACAGTGCACAGTTAAAATAATACAATGCAGCGATTCAGAAACATCTTTTCTGTTCCTCTCCATTTATCCTCTGCCACATAACTGCACAACACAGTCTACTTGTCTGTGATCTCATGAGGTAATGTCCTGGGATTAATTATTCAGAGCCTGCAGTCAGTCTTCCTCCTATGGAGTTATTGAAGTTTCTTCTCAGCGTTTCAGAAGATTTGTGTGGGCTGCTGAGGGGAGGAGACATTTACTTTTCCACTCTCCTGAACCACCGAACTTTCGGTTGGTGGTCTGCCTGCAGGGCAGTCCCTATACCCTAAGCCACTGTTTCCACCATTGTCTAGAAGCTTCCCTTGTGGGGCGCAGCAAGGACAACTCTGTACCTTGGCCTTTACTCTGTTTTCTAGTCTTCACCAGAGGCTGGCAGGTTCACAGGCCCGTCTCAGGGAGTGTATGAGCTTCAGAGGGCATTTCAATGCCATTTATAGAAAATGAGTTTTTCCACAGATCTTTCCTTTAAATTTTTTAACCAGTCTCTACTTTACCCCAACAAGTATTTCAGAGGCTGAGATGACAATGACCACTATTTCTGTGCTGACAAACATCTAAGGGCTTTTGCCCTGGGCAGGGTAGATCTGTTAGGAGTTAGAGAGAGAACTATGATGAAAATACATGGCAACTATATGTGAAACTCTCAAAGAATTAATAAAAATACTACATTGATTCCCTGCACTCTGCCCAAAGGTTGGCCAGAAGTCTCAGCGTCTGTTTTGATAGTCTGCAGGGCAGAGCCTTTCAGAGGCCCTCTGTGGCAGGCTCCTAACTTTTCTCCTTCTTCTGATGTCCATCCTCTTTGCCTTTCTGGATGGGGATTGAACATTTTAGCTCAAGTCCTCCTTCTTGATTTGTTGTTTTAGATGTGCAGATTTTAGTAGGTTTATCCTATATTATATGTCTATATGAGTGAGTATATACTGTGTTTGTCTTTCTGCTTCTGGGATAGCTCACTCAGCATGATCTTTTCCAGATCCCACCATTTACCTGAATCTTATGAAAGAAGTGGGAAATAGTAAGATCTGGAGAGGACAGGTGCTCCACAAGAGAGCAACAGAACCAAAGAATCTGAGCACAGGGGTCTTTCCTGAGACTGATACTCCACCAAGGACCATGCATGGAGATAACCTAGAACCCTTGAACAGATGTAGCCCATGGCGGCTCAGTGTCCAAGTGGGTTCCATAGTAATGGAAACAGGGACTGTCTCTGACATGAACTGATTGGCCTGCTGTTTAATCACTTCCCCCTGAGGGGGGAGCAGCCTTACCAGGCCACAGACGAAGACAATGCAGTCATTCCTGATGAGACCTAATTGACTAGGATCAGAAGGAAGGAAAAGAAGACTTCCCTTATCAGTGGACTTGGGGAAGGGCATGCATGGAAAAGGGGGAAAAAGGGGAGAGGGTTGGGTGGGGAGGAGGGAGGGAGCTACAGGGGGGATACAAAGTGAATAAGGTGTAATTATTACAAAATAAAAAAAAAAACAAAGCAAGTGTTCCCAGAAGTTGCAGACGGTCACAGAAACAGCCCTCTGGCTGCGCATGTGTGTGGCTGCAAACCTGCCCTCCGCAGGCCTCCACACTGGGCCGCCATAGCAGTGCCCTCCAGACCTGCAGCTCGGAGACAGGGGTGGGAGAGGGCGGGCTAAAGTCCCACGAAGCTGGCTTAGTCCGCGTTAACCACTTTTTGAATAAATGTTGATGGTTACAAGAACCTGGGAAATGGGATTTTGCTAGGTTTTTCTAGTGTCTGCTTCTCTAGCAGCACCCGGCCCGTCACTCTGCTCAGTCTTCCTTTCTAAGAATGTCAATATTTGCCTAATTCCTCCTTGGCCACATAAAATTTGTAATTTAAATATTTAATCAATTGGAATAGATTTTACAAAGAAGCTCAGAAGGAACTGGGAAGCCAACCGCAATATTTTAAAAAGCTGCCTAATTAAAATATTTTTGAGAATTTAATAAAAGTATATATCATCGTTATAGAAAAATCTGCATATATGTGCATTTTTGTATAATTTTAATAACTCCCAGACTACCTAGGCCCCCTCCAAGAGATACAGACCGAAAGTCTGGGTGTGCAGAGGCTGCTGTCTCTACCCAATCTGTCACATGATCATAGGTATCAATCCCAGCCGGGCACTTCTGGATTGGTAGCTGCTCCATAATTCTCCTAGACTGTTTATTCTCAAACAACAGCACTGCTTCAGCTAAACCGAGCACATCTCTGCTTTGCTCTCCTCCAAAGCCCTTTCCTGTGCAAACAAGGTCCTCATATCTCTGCAACTTTCTTTTTCCTGCCAACTGACCACCTTCCACCTGACAAGGCCACTGAATACCTGACAAGACCACTGACCACCTGCCATGACCACCAACCACCTGGCATGGCACCCCTGCTAGCTTCCATCACCTGGCATGGCATCCCTGCTAGCTTTCTATCCATCTTCTTTTAAAAGGCTGGGCTGCTGTTTTTCTCCTACTGTATCTGAAGAGATAAAATAAGGCATGTGGGAGAAACTCACGTCAGTTATTAAGAGGAAGCCTGATCATGGAGGATTATTTGATTCTCCTAAATGACCAGGGGTGGTGAACTTCACAGAGCTTTCCAAAAAAGCCATTTTCCTGCCAGTTTCCTTGAGCAGGAGCAAAGGCCATAGCCACGGGATGGCAGCCGATGACTACAGTAAAGTCAGCATGAGGAAGGGGGACTGCCTGCAAATCACAGTCAGCTCCCCCACACGGCTCCCCCACACCACTTCCTCCCCCCGTGCCCCCTGCCTTGTGCCCCAGAGAGCGTCACACGCAGATGCACAGCTTCCACTAAACCCCATGCTGCTAAGAATCTTCAGGACACTCTCAACTTGCAGGGGACATTTTGTGCTGTTTGTGCTCTGATTTGTCTGAGACAAGGTCCATGTAGCCCAGGCTGGCCTCAAACTTGCTAGAGTATTCCTGAGGCTGGTCTTCACCTGCGGATCTTCCTGCCTGTTTCTCAAGAGCTAAGATTACAGGTGGGCACAGCCATGTGGGCAGCTTTTGAGGGGACAGATTTTCAAGTGTGAGGTGTGTTGTGCTGTGCCTCCTGAGGGTACCTGACAGCCAGCACAGAAACATGCTTCCAGGAAGGCTGCCTTTGTCTTCTGGTACGTGTACACGGGAGAGTCACTCAATGTGTCTGCCCACGCAGAGCCTGAGGCACTGTGAACAGAACACACATGTTCACCCGTGAAAACAAAGCGGGAAGGTGAGTGGGCAAAAGCCATTTTGTACACGGACACACTGGCTCATGAAGGCATCCTCTCATGAGACCAGGGGGACACTTACGAGGCTGGTTAGTTACTGCTGCCAACTAAAAGTGGCTGTTATCTAAGTCAGACCTAATTTATGTGAATCAAACTGTTTTCCTAACCAAACACATTGTCTGCATGAGTGTGCGCATATTCCTGCACGCGTGTGCACATGTGTGCATGAAAGGTGGAAAGGGAGAAAGAGCAAACACAGGAAAATGTGGGATGCTTAACACAGTTGGAATGACAAAGCAGAAACACCGATTCTGAGCTTCTGAAATGTAAGAAAAAAGGCAAAATATGTTATAGGATTTTTAATACCAGAAAGATAAACATTGTTGAAATACTGAAAAGAGTAGGTGAGAACAGAAACACCTTGATGAAACTAAAACGCCTTCCACCAAAGGATTTCCCGTCAGATGCCCAGCGAAGTGCTGTCCCCCGAGGGAGGGCACTCGGGCGGCCTCTGGGCGCTCACTCACCTGACTTATCCTCCGCTGCTCCTGCACAGCAGCCTGGATCGCCTCCGCCACCCTTTCTTGATCCTTCGCATGTTCTGTCTTCCACATTTCCCTTTCTTCCGCGTGAACTTTCTCCAGACTTTTCCTTTCTTCTTCCACTGCTTTGGTGACGATATCTTTCATAGCTTCTTTCTCAAGCTTTAAAAAAAAACAAAAAACAAAAAGAAAACCAAAAACCGACCAAGACAGAAAGATTAACAAGGTCAAGGCCCAGCCACAAAACGTAACCAGTCAGCCTCAGCGCCACCTCTTTAAGCTTATCAAGTAAAGGCACATACATTCAACCACTCTGACATAGGTTTTCCTCCTTAGCCCTGAAATTTCTGCATTCTGAATGCAGCAGGCAGCCAAAGGCAGGTCTGGAAAGTTAGTTCCAATAAGAACGATAACTGCAAACTAAAGCGTGTCTTTCAGGTCGCTCACCACACAGCTCTCTCCTGTATTTTCTGGGCTCTGCACTAGGACACGGATCTCCAAACAGCTGACCCTGGGAAAAAGGTGATTCACCAAGCCACGCTTCTTCAGGTGTTTGCATGTCTCCGTGCAAGCTAACTGGCACACACCCTGCTGTCACCAACGTCCCTAAGTCCTGGAAAGCAAGGGGGAGTTTTCCAAGCTGCTACCCTCAGAAGTGGCTCGTCCTCTCTTCCTCCACCGGCTCTCAACACTCAGAACTCGGCATCATCAGCCACTCCTATTCGAGGTGCTGAGCTCATCTGAGAACTACTTCCACACTTGTATACTCTGGCCTCCAAGCTCCTGGTTTGCCCGTTTACTTGTCTCCTACTTCACACTCACAGCCCTTTATCAGTACACTCCTGTGTCAAGCCTCCTACTTCCCAGAAGCCCATGAGTATGTCCAGAATGACACACCTCAGCCACAGTCCCAGAACTCAGTCCTTACTCGGTTCAGAAGACCCGCCACTTCTTCAGCTCACTTCAAAAGTGATTTATTATTGAAAAAGTGTTAACACGGATACACAATTTACATGGTCACAGAAACTTAGTTACTCATATTTTTATTCAACTGAAGGTTCCGTGAGAAAAAGGTAAAAATCATAGAGTGAGATTCCATTCAAACCGCTGCTGTGGCTCCCGAGCCTACTCAAGCGGCTGCTGTGGCTCCCGGGCCTACTCAAGCGGCTGCTGTGGCTCCCGGGCCTACTCAAGCAGCTGGCACATGTTTGTTTCTGTCTCTCTGGTGAGCTCCGCCCTGCACCAGAGGGGCGTTAGGGGCCGGGAAGACCCACTTTACATAAGTACGGCAGTCTCTGCTGCCAAGTCATTCAGTGCCACAGAATACGAATTAACCAGAAGACAAATGCTCATACTGGAGGTTGAACACAAAGCCAAAAGAAAAACTGTAATGTCTCTGGAATGAAGCACTGTTCAATGACCCTGTATTATTCGGTCAATGAGATTTAACTGCACTGAGAAGGACACACAGCACAGGGACACACAGGACAGGGACACACAGGGACACAGCTCAGGGACACAGCACAGTGACAGAGCCCAGCATGGGGCCAGGCAGCATGCGCCTCACAGCCTGAGCAGGTAAACCTACCTTTACTGCCGACTGCAGCGTCTCCTTGTTCCTCTGCAGTTCCTCCTGCAGGCACCTTCCCAGCATTTCCTGCAAGGAGAAGACAGCAGGGATGCTGCAGGCAAGGGTGGGCAGCAGGCCGGTCCCCCACCCGCTGGCAGCCCACGCACCTTCTGCTCCTGTGACTGCTGCGTTAAAGCCTCTTGGATCTTTTCTCTCAGCAGTTCCTTCTCGGTGTCCAGCACGCCTAGGAGCCGCTGGTGCTGCGAGGGAAGACACAGAGCTGTTACTGTGACTCCCGAGGCTGCCGGAGAGGAGAGCAGCAAGCAACCGTGCCAGGCAGCTGGAGAAAAGTGGGGATGTTGGCAAAATGAGGTGGAGGGTACAGGAGACAGATGCTGTCCTATGGGCATTAGTGGGTGAGAAGTGGGCAGCACTCAGCGGCCACAGACATCTACAACCTGGTCAGGAGAGGTTCGGCATGAGGCTGAATCCAGTCAGCTGCAGGCTCTGAGGTGCAGCAGCGTCCTGGGACGTCTGTCTGCAGGGGCCAGCAGTGGGGTGCAAAGGCCACCACTCAGAGCCAGCCGTGGGCAAGGATCAGCCTTGCTTCTCCCCAGGGAAGAGGTGATGTGCGATGGCCCTCCCCCAGCCGCTCTGATCAGCAGGACGTGGCTTTACAGCCCCGTAAAAGACACTATGAAAATTAACCGGAACTATCCCAGCAAGCCTCATGCAAGAGGGGCTTGTTACAGTTTGCTTATTTAAGATACTATATTGCTTTTCTTAAAACTTCAGTGCAAGTTTAATAAAAATTTTACACAAAATATAAAAATAAGTTATAAAATTATGCAATTGAAGAAATAAGTTCTGACTTTATAGAATACAAGCTGTGTGCAAAGGTGTCAAAGACAATCTTCTGAACCCTAACCAAGCCCAGGGAGTCTTATGGAAGAGCTGGGGACAGAAGGACCTGGAGAGACAGGAGCTCTACAAGAAGACAAACAGAACCAACAAATCTGGGCCCAGGGGGCTTGTAGAGACAGATGAATCAACCAAGGTGGAGAGGACCTAGACCCCCTGCTCATATGTAGCCCATGGCAGCTCAGTGTCCAAGTGGGTTCCCTACTAAGGGGAGCAGAGACTGTCTCTGACATGGACTCCATTGCCTGCTCTTTGATCACCTCCCCCTGGCAGGGAGAGGGGGGATTGCCAGGCCACAGAGGAAGACAATGCAGCCAGTCCTGATGAGACTTGATAGAATAGGGTCAGATGGTAGGGGAGGAGGACACCCCCTCTTTGAGGACTAGGGGAGGGGGAGGGGGGAAGAGGAAGGAGGGTGGGACCAACAGGAGATGAAGGAGGGGGCTTCAGTCGGGTTATAAAGTGAATATATTACAACCAAAACAGAAAGCCATCTGGGAAGAGAATGCCTCATCACCTTGGAAAAAAAATCATCCCGGCAGACTCAAATGGAGATATAGAGATTCTGCAGTTTTTACTTGAGTCCTGAATACGTAAACTAAACAAAGCCAACCAACCAACCAACAACAACACACATACCATGGTCTTCTCCCTTACAGGGCAATGTAAGGGCTACGGTCTCATACAGTGTTATAAAGTATTATTAGCGCTGTTCTAAGGTAAGAAGAAAGTAGATCCACATTTAATCACCACCATCGTGGATTCTTTTTATAGAAGTGTAAGTGCCCATTTTAACTGTCTCCTCCACCACTCTAATTTTGACAAAATCTTGCTTAAAGCCATCAAGTTATTCTTTTAGAATGCCTTACCTTTCATTAACCCACACAACCAAGCATGCTTAAGACTGCAGCTCCTGCTTTGTGGCTCACGTCTGCCAGGGTTAGCTGGGTGCCCAGGCTCCTCCACTCCCTGGGGAACTCTCTGTGGCCTGCGCCCCGCCTCTCTCCTGGGATTACAGACTGTGGTTTCTTTGCTGTTGTTTTTGTTTGTTTCTTCATTAATTTATTAATTTATTTATTCATTCACTCTACATCCTCTCCTCTCAGCCCCACTCTCCCACCCTCTCCCCTTACTCCCCCCACCCCCGTCTCCCCTTCTCCCATACCAACCCCGCCCTGACACATCAAGCAGAATCGGGACTATGTGCATTCTCTTCCACTAAGCAAGACAAGGCCCAGCTAGAGGAAAGATGTGTGGATGTGTCAATACGCACAGAGCAATGCCCCATGGGGCTGAGCTTGGTGTGAGGAGCAGACACCAAGAGCCCCCTTTCTCTGTCAGAAAAACCCAGTCCTTCAGGCTCCTGTCTGTCAAGTCTTCCCATAACCGCAGGAAGAATTATCTTTGACCCTGCTGCAGTCTGTTTTCAACACCAGCGTAGTATTTATTACTATATATAATTCATTTTATACCTGATTCTATGACAAACTAGCTTCTTAGATACAGATGCCCTATATTTTAAAGTACAGAACACATCATATTGAAAGCTCTGAAACATTATACAAATTTGTAGTTCTAGCATATCAACACGACTGCCAATATAATCCAAAGAAAAGCAGGAACTAGGTTAATTGTTGACTAATAAAAATAAGATTTTTTTTCATGAATTACAATGAAAGGAAAACAAGGCTGGCATCCATGTAAACAGAAAACAGTGGCTGTAAATTAATTAAATAGGTCCCTACGTGCAACCAGACCAAAGCTTCAAGGACATTAGAGCAAGCTGCCCTAAATCACCTGGTCTGCCAGGTTCCCAGGTGGATATCACCATTGACCATTCTTTGCACTCCAGACTACCTTGGGAAACAGCTGAGACAGACACATGTGACTTTGCTAATTTTACAATTTGAACATCATCTATTAATTTGCTTGATTGTTGATGCACAGAATGTTCTAATTTCTGCTACAGTTAAGGCAGATGTAGACTTGCACATGTACAAATAAAATAATCATATCTGATGACTTACTTCCTCAGGCAGCTAGCAGATGGGTTCACATGATGAGCACAGAAACGCTTGGTTCCCAGAAGCCTGTGTGCAGCAAAGCAATTCTTTCTTTACTCTGGGGATCCAGGTAGCTTAGCTCAGCCTTAGGACTTTTGGACTACAAGGTGCCAAACAACAACGAACTCTCTTTGTTTGGCATGGAATCTGCTAACACAGATTTCTCCTGCATCTTCATCAGAACAGTCATTACCAAGGATCTCCAGAGAAAGAAATGGAGACTGGGAAGAAGTCGCCTCCCAACACAACTCACAAGCTCAGCACCCATTTATTCCACTGTCTCTCTGCCAGTTTCTTTTGGCATTTTCCTGCTGAAAGCTAACAAACACCTCACAATAAATTACTTCTAGTATTAACTTAGCCCACAGGAGCATGCTAACATTTACCTGAGGAGATACCGGTATCTTCAAGGTCGTGAGCTTTCCCTAAATCGTTAAGGTAAAGACAGTGAGGTCACCAGAAGAACATTCCGGGCACAAGCGGAGATGAATGGCCACCACCACACAAACGCCATCTTTCTGTCTTTCAGTCTCAAGGGAAGCGCTAACCTGCTTAGACAAAAGCCAATGCTCTCCCTCGGAGCAACAATGTCCATGGTACCAAGAGCCAGAGTTTCCACTAAGCAATGTGTAATGTGTGAAAATCCAAAGCGGTTTCTAGAATCACAATAGAAAACTTGGGGATACTTGACCTCGTCACCACTACGATCGAGACCCTGACAGCAACATTCAGTGATGCTGCCTGAGGTTCCTCACAGCGAGGAGAGTCACTGCCTCTCGGGCTATCAATCACAGTGTCTGCCCTGGGCTGCCGGACACAAGACTGCTGCTTTACTATGAAAATGGAGACGCGTAGCCAGCTGCATCCCAGGCTGGGAAGAGGCTCACCTGAGACACTCTCTTTTCATGCCGAGTGGAAATCTCCTAGGCCCAGCGTGCTTAACCCTAACTCCAGAATAACGTAAGAAGCCTAACCTTTTTCCAGATAACAACCTTCCAAACAGGCGTAGGCTTCAGTGCCATCAATTGCTCTCTGTACCACGCGGCTTCAATCCTTCTATCTCACCATGCTTTAAAGACTATAAAATGACTGTTTGGTACCGCTGTTATTTTTTTTTTTTTTTTAAAGAAACTAACTAATATAACAGGAGCCTTAAACTACAACAGTGCTTTTTAATATTTTTCTTATCTACCATCCATCCAACTATCTATCTATCTATCTATCTATCTATCTATCTATCTATCTATCTATCTAT